GTAATGTTATTTTTTCATCTTCCACTGGAAAACATAGCAAAGTTTGATGTATTTAAAGCGAATTCCAATCAATTAAATTCACTCTTCAAGAAGGCAGCATTAATTGTTAAGGGACTGAAATTTTTTCTTCTCTAGACTGACATACCTCATTCAGAAACTGAGCCTTGTGCTATAAGGAAGTGGTATGTCATAAGTTTTCTTTAAAGACTAGGGAATAACACTTGAAAGCTAACAAAACATTCTGGTACTCCTATGTCTGGATTTCCAGGGCTCCAAGACACCTGCAGAGCACAAACTAATCAAATCCCACAGGTAAGACTTAATCTCTTGCTGATATTCTCATGTGAAAGGTATAGCTGCTACGCTTCGCCAAAAGTCAAGTTGGTTCAAAGATTCTTCAGGATGTATTGTCAGTTTTCACTATCAGTCTCTACTGGTATCTGAAGAATACTAGACAATTTATTAATCAGCTCTCAAATATTCTGCAATAGCTGCAAGTCTGTGCTGAGGAAGACATTGTTTCTCATTAGTGAATACCAGAGTAGTCAGACATTATTCATATATTAAAATTATTTTTATCATATCAAGACAAGACTCCGCTATAATGTTTTTAGCCCCAAAAGGTCATTCTGTAAGTTACACTGTAACAATACACTGTTTTGTGATGGGGAAGAAAGAAAGAACAGGAGAGGCAAAAAGAAATGTAAGCTGCTCAAAGAGGAATGGGACTTTGTGCCATTTGAGTGAGAATTAGTGCATTCATTTTTTAATTCATATACTACAAAATACTTCAATAAGTCTGGCTTATTACTGCTCAAGTGATCTAGCATTTGTAAGCTAAAGTAAACATGTAACAGACATGAAATAAAGCTGGTATCTGAAACAACGTCAAAACAAGCATGACAATGGTGTAAATGCCAGTTTCTTTTAAAACACTGAGATACCACCACACTGATTTAAGAAAAGCAAACATTTACTTCAAATTGCAGTATAGGCTTTTCAATCACAGAAAGAAAGAAAAGAAAAACAGTGATCTGACAGCGGTCACATCCTGTGCAAAAAACTCAGGATACAAAAGACAAAAAAAAGTAGCACAAGGTACTTGAGCCGCTTACACATTGCAGGATAAAGTAAATAAATACAGTAGCTGGAATATGGCACTCTTGTAACAAGACTAAACCCAGTGGAATGCCTCTGAAATAATTTTTATCCTTGTATTAGTAGCAAAATCCCACCACCATAAAAGTAAAATAGTACAATGTTTTAAATAAAAACAAACTAAAATATTTATATCTAAGAGAAGGATTTTACACAGTTATATATCTTAAGTGCAGAAAATGGGACTAGGGCATAAACCCTTCTTTCTTTAAATTAAACTCCCACACACAAAATTCCGTTCAATTTCAAAAGTAAATTTACGTTTGAGGAAAAATGTTACCAAAGTTGCATAATTTCATTTGTTACTCCCACAGCTGGAAGTTAAATTCTCAGTCTTGAAACATGAACGTTCATCATTAGCCAGTGGAAAAAAAAAGGACTTGTCAAAAGCCCTCAGGATTTCTTTATCCTCCAAATATTGTTTTGCTTTCTCCTACATCTTCAGACAGCAATCCCTAAGTTTGCAAACAAAAGAATGCAATATGCATCATACATCAAGAAAAGATGAAGTGGATGAAGAAGAACTTCCACGTTTTTGGATCTTTTCCTTGCTTCTTTCAAACTTCTTTATGATCTCAGTCACTATGCACACAGAGGAAGTGAGTCCCAGAAGAAACAATAAATCTGAAAGAGATAATGAGCCCGATTTTTAAAAATTTGCTTTTTAAGGCTGAGGACAGATTTACAAAAGAACAAGACTTACATGACTTATGTTGCCTTCTAATCATTGGGTAATTTCAGGAGAAATGAAGCAAGAACATTTGCAGGATCAGCAGATCAACATGCATCATTTATGCACAAATCGTGAGGAAAGGCATGAGATTTCAACATTTTAAAGTATTGCATAACCTCACTATTTTTACTAACATCCATGAACACAAAGAACTTTCTTCTAAGCAAGCTAATTAGATTTTATGCTGAAACAATATTCAGATTCTCAGAAATGACACTACAATAAAAAGACAAAGAATTATGTAACAACATGCATTTTATGGCAATCATTTATTTTTACGTCCAGAAAATTGCAGTGGTAATAATCATAAGAAGTCTTAACGGAGCCAACAGCATTAAGCGACAGTAGCAGCACTGTGTCTATAGCCTTGTAAAATGCGCACATCTTTTCCAAAAAAAATGCAGTTGATTTAATAAAGGATCAATATTTCTATCTAATTAAGGTATTGGTATTTAGAGAAAAATTTGCTAAATAGCAAGACTAAGTGTTTTAAAAAAAAAAAAATCGAACTTCATACTTCATTTTTGCCCATATCAAAATTTACATTAAAAATTCCCAACAAAAAGTGCCTAAGAAATCTTAGAATATACTGACCCATTTTTTGTGTACGTATGCATTTCATCATGGTTCCCAAAGAAAACACCTAAAAGGGTTTTTTTTTTTCTTAAAAATTAGTAGCATTTTTATTCCTTGTATATGTACATGGGTGGGAAGTGTTTTTTAAAACCATCAGTCAATGCATTTACAGATTACTCCTTACTGTGCAATGTTAAAGGGGAACTGTTCTTACCTAGGACACTCAGGCTCTCTGTTTGGAAAACCTTCTGAAGTGGAGGAAAGTAAATGACCAGTAACTGTCCCATTATAGATCCAAGGACCGCATAGCAGAACATTTTATTACTGCAAAGTCCAATCTCGAACACAGATTTTGCCTATAAAATAAATAGCATTACCTTGTATGTGTAATTTTGATTGCCTACATGAGAAAATAACTCATAAGAACAATCTAGTCACCTCAGCTTTTAAAAGCTGTAAAAACTAGTTGTTGACCTTGAAAACAATCCAACAAGTTCTTTGACAAGCCAATTTCATTTTCTGTTTGGCAAATAGAGAGTGCAAATCTGTCTTCACAGTGACTTGCATATTGAGCTCACTTTCCTGCAAGTACAACGCACGAGAAGGTGTCTTCTATACTATATGGAAGTGTTTGTGTTGACCTTGACATTATTCACAGAAAACAGTGCCAATTAGAGTAAACACAGTAATGCATATTAACAATCTTTTTCTGTAATTAGTGCAAAATTTGGGGGTTTTTTTCCCCCCTTTAAAACAAAAATATAATACAGAAAGAATAGTTTAAGAGTTTTCCTTGTGTTACGGGCTTTACAGCTACAAAATAAAAAAATGAAGGCCTTCAAAAAATTCTAGGTTTTGGCACAGATTCTGAACTGACAATTTTCAGGAAAGAAAGAGAAATCCAACTAGACGTAAACAACAAGACAAACAAACATCACTTTCGCTTTTATCAAAGGTTTTCTCTTCCTTCCTTCCATCAGGACAGAAGCATTACTACCAGCTCTGCATCATATAAACAAGCTTAAGGAAACTAACATTGATCTGTAATTTAAGAAATCCTACCTAGTAAATATGTGATACTCTGAAGCTTAATAGCACATGTGAATTGAATATGCAGGAAAATATCTGAAACTGAAACAGAGCAAGGTGCTCCTTAGAAGAAAAATACTGCTTGTGTAAACGGACAGTACAAATCACTTACCTGAGATCTAGAACTCAAAGCATTGAACATATCAAAAAATACAAAACAGGTGAAAGTCATAGTTGTATCTCGAGGCGTTATTACATTGTCTCTTAACTGCCAAAAAGAGAAAATGAAGGGGCTTTAGCATGCTTTAAATCCTCAAGAACTAAACAAAGTTATTACAATACCTTAAGTTCTACTAGCTAGTACGTGAAAGGAAAAACAATCCCCATTTGCCCTAAGCTCATTTAATAAAACCTGTAGCAAGAGTTATAGGTTTATAACTTATAGATCTTGTAATTCCAACCTGCAATTTAGCAGCTCTTTATAAACATTCCAGCAAACAGATGGAATATCAGGAATTCTGTGATGCACTACCAAAAGTTCAAGTAACTTTTTTCTCTATTGGGAAAAGAAAGTCAAACGGCTGTTTTATAACTGTCTGGCTAGAAGATTTGGGCAATTAATTTCCATGAGCCAAGGTTTCCCAAATACCTTTGAGACTAGAAAAGTCTATGTTAGAGATTGTGAAATAAAACTGCATATCCTCATTTTAAAAACTACTTGGAAATTCCTCCTCTCTAATCTGCTAGCTGAATAGATTTTTAAATAAGCATGGATACAATTTGCAATTAAGTATATACAAATTCTGAATTCTAATTGCTGGTACAAAAAGACTTCTCTTAATTTTCATTTGTTACTGCTTTAACTTTTGTATGTGTCATACCTCTCTCCAGAAGACAAACAATGTTCCACACACAATAATTATCGATGAAACCAGTATTTTAACAATCAGGTTTTTGGTCAGAATGCTGTCCTTCAAATTTCTCGGAGGCTTCTGAATAACATCTTTATCCACAGGTTCCACCCCAAGACTTAAAATGAAAAACATCTTAGGTTTTAGCATCACAAAATAATTGACTGCTTTTGATTTAAGAGCTAGATTTTATGAGTTGAAAAAAGGTTATATCTGCTCTTCACAGCCTAGGAATCATCTCATTCAAATATTAAATTGCTATTCTCACTTTCAAAGCACTGAGTTATAAGCATTAGTAACAGGCAATATTCTAACCCTGCACTACAATGAGAGTCTAGAAGTACATGATATCAAACACTCAAAATTATCAGATGTCAATTTTATTAAAGGAACCTGCAGTATTAGTTGTGCCTCCCATTTTTGTCACCTTGATCAGCTTAGCCCAGGGATTCTGCTGCTGGTTCCCTTTCACCTCTCTCCACCATTTAATCTGCAGTGAAGAGGGTTAGAGGAAGGGCCCAGAGGAAAGCCAGAGTCTCACAAGCAAGTTTCATGGGCATACCCATGGATCTTTAGGTATCCAGGTTGCTCCAAGCATTGCTAGATACTAAGCAACACAAAGATATGAACATGGAACTATACTACAAGTACTGTAACTCAAAGTTTGCTTTCTGTTTCACAAACACATTATCATTTAAGTTTAGCATTTCACTTTTTTTTTTTTTTTTCCATTAGCAACCCTTTATAGCTTGCTGAAATAAAAGGACTACAGACCCCTGAGAGTGATTAAAATAATTATTTACCTTTGAGCTGGAGGTCCATCCATAATGATGTTGATCCATAAGATCTGCATGGCATTGAGAGGATTGGGAAAATTCATTAACGTGGCCAGTGAGATTAAAGTCAATGCTGCTATACTCCTGTTGAAAGAATCCATTTTATAACTGTCAGCATGGGACATTTCTGAAGATCCACTGATAACTGCTTTATCAACATTTCGATTGCTTAAGAGGAGATATAAAGAGATTTTGACTACTTAAATTGTGATTGATGTAATCCTAAGTTTAAGAGGTAAGGCATGGATTCATTTAGAATACTCATCTTGACACAGTCTTTGTTTAACAGAGTTGTTTCAGCAACTAAGACAGGAGAATTTGTGCCTTAAAAATCTCCCGAACTTTAAAATAACATTTTGGAGTTACCACTTACCTTTACCTAATTCATTTCTCATTGGGGGAACTGGGTTCCATGCTTTTATTGCGTTCTTTTCAAAAAAGTAGTGCAAGAAGCAGCACTTTTAAACATGGTTTTGAAAAGCAAGCTGCTGCTTTTTTACTTTTGAGATAAACTCCTTGGTGCACCTGTCAGCAGCTTGACGAATTATAGTTAAGGCAAGGTACTTCCCCAGTTCCCTAAAATACCTACATCACCACTCATCATTAGCAAGATGAGGAGTCTATAAAAAAAGACAGAAAACAGAATAGCTGGCTGCAAGCTTAGAGACCTCTCTAAATAGGTAGGCACTAATGGGGTTTGGTGCAAGATTAAATGGTTTCAGTTTTTCCAAGCAGAGAGCAGG